CATAGCCATACAAAAACCTAAATACAGTTTATTTTTAAGTTAATGAGAAAAAAAATCRCTTATTCATTTAGTATATCTTTTCCATTGGATTTGGTATCACTGTCTTTATAGCTAAACAGCGTAGAATAACTTGAAAGACGAGAACTCAAGCATTATATGATTGCGGTTTTATTCATTTCTTTTTGATCCAGTTGATAATTGTGCATTTTTCTTTGTCTTTTAGGTTCTGCCAAGTAACAGACGCCATATTTATAAACAAGAGAAGCCCACCGCAAGACGAATAATTTGATCTTTTCGCGTTTCTGCTTAACGTTGGCTTGTAAATAAACCGATGAACCTTTATAACATTCGTATAAATGCTTGCTTTTTTGATTGTAAAAATTCTTCCAGTAGCTTAATTTATCACAACTTAAAAACAAAAAGAGGTTAAAAATAGAGGTAACACTGAATTTCGTAAAAAARCGCGTTTCCAGCAAAGACCTCCAGTATAAGATCCCCAAAATGGCGCATTGACCAACTCATAAAAAATACAAGATAAGGAAATATTGCGATAAAATATCCTTGTTATTAAACAATATTTGAAGTAAAAATAATKTCAAATTGTAAAAAAGGAGAATTAGCGCAACAAGAGTGTTACAAACGATTAAACATCAATTACCTAAAGGATCGGGATTTTCATGAGATTGGATGTACATATTTAAGATAAAAGTAAAATTAAAAACCTTTTTTTGAAAGTCAAAATGGTTATGTTCAGTTGTTGAATTATTGTAGCGATGAAGTAAGATGACACACATTATTAAAAGCTATCCGAAAAAAATGGTATTTTTAAGAGTACAAGAATCTCCCTCTCTGTAGTTGTATAGGTCGCGAATTGAGACACTATTACTAGTCAGTACGATGTCTTCAAACCGCTTTAACACACTAATTTAACAGTCAAAAATATTCTTCTCGTTTTATGCTTTGTTTATTTCATTTGTCATCCTGGATTGAGTTGCTATTGAATTCTGTGAATTTGGTTGAAAACAAAGAGGCTTGACATATCAAAGATCTTTTTCCAAATAGTCGGCGTATTTTTTCTTCTTAAAATTTAGAAGAAAAGAAAACGGCGTTGTAAGAAAAAGAATTTGAAACGTATTTTTCATAACGATTTTGCATCCAATTAGAATTTTATGTTGAACACTATATATGTAATTTTAATATCCCAAAAAAAACTATTTAAGTTATACTGTTAAATGCTTCGCTAATTAGTTGKCTTTTGCAACACCTCAAAGGCCTTTAATCTTAATTGTTATTTTAAATCGAGGCTATATTACGTCTTTGTATAATCGATGCATCAATGGTTGAACGATTAATTAAACAAAGCATAAAAGCTATTTATCAACACCTTGGAAATTGATCTTTCTTTTTTTTCACTTTTCACCCACAAATGCAGTCAAAAACACACAAGAACGATCTCAATAACCTTGCCTTGTCCTTCATACGAACTGYTGTTTGTCTCGACCGCCATAACGCACTGTCAATATAACTAAGATGGTGGCCACATTTTCTTCTCGTTCGGAAAAAGACAAAGAGATAAGTTATGAAGTGACGGCGGGGGTACTTGTGCATTTTGCGCTGCCTTGTCATGGACTAAACTAATTGAATGAAACACCAAACTACATTACCATTCAATACTCTAATGTCCTTTCAAATAARATAAACATAACAGTCCATGTAATTAGTTTTTTACACATCTTTTCTTAATTACTTTGGTATTTTTAGTACTGAACAAGTCAGCTCAAACCAGTTTCTTGTAGTMCAAAAACTAATTAAATCTTTAAAATGGAAACCCGGTGAAACACTAAAATTCGATTCAATGCTCAGTCTATAATATTCCTTGCAAGTTTGAGTAAATTTTAGATAGAGAGTGTAAGTACAATGAGTCGGAATTTCTTATTTGTGGCTTTCTATGAAGCATTATTTCTGGACTATTATCAAGTTAACTATTATATTATCATTTCTTATTGTTATAATTGTTATGATGATGTTAGAATTCGAATTACTCAGTTATAATAGGGAAAGGTTTCTTTMCAATCGATTTTTACGCACAAGTGTACTTGCTTTTTTGAATTTTACCTTCATCTTTTTTATTTTGATAATCATGGGATTATTCTCGATTCTCGAATAGCAGTTAAATAATAATGTTGTTAACTAATTTACACAATTAARCATTTGAGGATGCTATGGCTTTAGGAAGGTTTGTAAACTATTTTGTTTCTTTTTCTGTAGTTAAGTGTCAGTTGTCCTTACATAAAAGTCATTCATTGTGATTCTAAGAATCAAAGAATCAAAGAATCTTTGACCAACTGCTCACATACATAACACCTCTCTAGACGAAGATATCAAGTTACTATAGACCGTTTCTGAAATACAAAATCACAGWGTATTGTGGTCTAGCTTCAGTACAAACAACACCATATTTGKCMGCATGAACAAAAGATGAGTGTACCGAATCTAGACCACAATGCAATGCGAAACACTATAGTCAGAAGTGACATATGTTGAAATTTTCTTTTCGGTATCTTTATAAATCTTTCTTTTTAGTTAAGCACCTGAATTAAGCACTACAGTTCTGTATAGGCGCAATAAATAGCTATTTGCTATAAGGGACTGCGCAATAATCATCAGGGAATTAAGGGTTGAGAATATACGGGGAAGAAGATGAGGGAACTTTGGTGTTTCATAGWGGTTGGCACTCCCGCGCACCTAACATTTTTAAACGGCCGTCATAAAATAAACAGGCAATGTTGTACTTAGATGGAAAATTTTTAAACATCAATTGATCTTTTATTTACTACAAAAATAACAGTTTTATGGTAGAAAGAAAGAATTCAAAGAAAGCTGTTTTCCGGCCAATTTCGATGACACCTAGAAAAATACGCAGTCAAAGACTGCATGTGGCTAGTGCCTTATACTTATAGCATAATTTTTTTTTATTAAATGCAGTATTTGTAGCGAAAATCGTTTGGTTTTGTCATAAATGAAGCCTTGGCAAATACATGTTCCGTGTGACACAGGAAGAACTTGTTTGTATATCCCAAAAATCGTTTGCTCAGTAATCACAACTAAATGATAGTTTGACTCAAATATCAACTTTCGTGTCTCAATATATATATTTTTTCTTAACAGTTTCACAAATCCTTAAAAAAAACACTTTCTGTAATATAAGCTTATTTTGAATGAATAATGTGACTATCGGTCACTATCTACTATCTACTATCTATCTGGAGGTTATGGTCACGCGATTTGACTTCGAACRCAAAAAAGGCATCCATATTTTTCAGATGAGGTTTAATATGGTTKTATTCCACTGAATGATTGTTCTTTTGTAAATATATGAACCTTATATATCCATGTGATTTCTTATTTTTGAGTACTTTGTGATTGTTTTGCATCGAACACTCGTTGTGCTCGAGTTGGCGGTATAAAAAATGCAAAATTTCTGCATAAATCAGCCAATAATCTTGAATTATATACCTCCTTTCATGTCCGTTGGATAATAATCAGTTCTTTTGTGCATAATGTGAGCGGTTTTAGCTACATTTTAGAGCCATTTAAAAAGAGAAAACTGTTTGCCGCCGTCTGTCCGCCATTTTGTTCCAACTTCCGAGATGAGAACCGAGTGGAAATACGAGCTTATCCCGAGAGGAACCGAATGGAATACGAGATTTTCCCGAATTACACTCACTCAAGGCGATGACATTATGGCTAGCGCCTCTTAGGCACTAGCCACAAAAACCAAAAGTACTGCGTTTAWCTGTTGGACRTTGCTAATAATATATCTCAAAATCAAGGAAATTGTTCTAGCCGATTTTGAGTAAAAAGTTAAAATGTGTATGTGTTGCGTTACATATTACATTCAAGGAATGCGMGTTACATCCTCCTGAATATATTAAAACATTTTCTCGTGCGCAGTTTTAGCATCACGTTGACGGCAAACGGCTAACGGCAGAGCTGAAACAATGACCTAAGAATTTCGTGCCCGACCTTGTGCTTTTGGTAGTCATTTGAAAGAGCGCCTTTTCACGATTATGGCAACCCCCCCAAAAACCCTTTCACACGTTGAAACTGCAACGTTAAACTCAAAAAAGCAGGTCACGTGATCTTTTCTGCCGTTTGGCGTTTGCCGTGAACGTCATGCTTAACCTCTATCTTCAACGCGTCTTCAAGCAAACTTTGTATTTTTTTTGGACCAGGTTTAAATGTATCAATCCATCTGAAACTTTGCAAAAATGACAAATGAAATAAAAGCATAAAACGAGAAGAATATTTTTGACTGTTAAATTAGTGTGTTAAAGCGGTTTGAAGACATCGTACTGACTAGTAATAGTGTCTCAATTCGCGACCTATACAACTACAGAGAGGGAGATTCTTGTACTCTTAAAAATACCATTTTTTTCGGATAGCTTTTAATAATGTGTGTCATCTTACTTCATCGCTACAATAATTCAACAACTGAACATAACCATTTTGACTTTCAAAAAAAGGTTTTTAATTTTACTTTTAAATATTAAATATGTACATCCAATCTCATGAAAATCCCGATCCTTTAGGTAATTGATGTTTGATCGTTTGTAACACTCTTGTTGCGCTAATTCTCCTTTTTTACAATTTCAAAAACTTGGTAGAAACTCACCCTAAGCGGGAACAAACTACTGCACTACAATCCCTAAAATAAAAAGGGACAAGGAGTCAAGACGTGTCGGATTAACAAGGCAATTTCTCCTTGCAAAAGACTCAACAGCTCAAATATCGACTATTGCTAGACCGTGTAATAAGTCACAGAAGAGCAAAGAACACTCATCTACACTGTGGTCCATACTCCAATACTCCAATCTATGATGTTACCAAAAAAATTATAAAAATGGGTGGGCCGCCTGTGGTTGTATCTGTAAGGAAAGGAACTGGTATCTAAATATGTCAGCGGATTCCGTAGGTAAATATAATTGTTTCAACGAATTACGAACGAAACTGGTCCAGTTATTTTAATTTATATTTTTCTAAAACAGACTGAAGTAGTTATGAGCATTACTGTCTTTCTATAGAAATTTTATCGTCTTTTGGTACCATTTGAAATTTCAAATGCAATATTTTGAGATCTTGTTGCTGACTTAACAAGAAAAGGGTTCGTGGAAATAGATCGAGGTGTTGAGTAGAAATAATATGCATTTTATTTAACCACGAGTATTTATAGAAATAATAAACCATCGCTATGGCATCCTTTGAAGATTATGCAACACAAAGTAAGTATATAAAACAACTTAGCTTTAATTATTAGGGTAACAACAGTTAACGACCAACACTGCAGCTTGCGTAGTCATCACCACGTACTGCATAGAGGTTTCCGATGAAAGAATTGATTAAAGCTCAGTTTAGTTTGTTTTAATTTTTACTGGTTTTATCGCAAACTCAAATCCCGCGACTGCATATTCATAAAACAAAAGGTAATAACATAAATAAATAAAAAATTTCAAATSATTCTACCTGCTCACAGAAAGGTTTTGCTATGGAGTCAAAGTAGAGACAATGTCTCAAAAGAAGAAAGAACGAAGGGATGGAGTATATGACATCATTTACTCAGACATTTTTTGACAAAATTCCAAATCAGCATCTTGTTAAAATATGTTGCTTTGTGATTATAGGACCCTTATTGATAAGTAGATACAATAATTATGTGCCTTTTCCAATGTTTTGCCATTTTTCATSTTAGTAGCCCTTTAAAAATATAGGTGTTGGGACTAATCGTCCTTGGCAGCATAGATGTTGATTTGCGAAAGACGCAGCTTGATGCACTCTCAAGTCGAAGTGCTATATTACAGACACAATATATACACTTACACATAGGTGTGCTGCTAGCTAGGTGCTTCCTTTACATAGCAACGTTGACTGAACGCGGAGCACAGCAGATAGAAATGGTTCGTTTTTACTCATAGCTCGGCCCTCAAAATTACCCTTTCCCCTTATGTTTGCATTTAATGGTGACCCAAAATAAACCAGGCTTGAAAGGCTTACCTTGTGTTCCCTTTAAGGACTGTTGACACTAGCAATTTTGTCTGAATGAGATGAGATGCAATGTTTACATGAGTTTATCACAAACCTTACTGTGATTTTAAATTTTAAAATGCAATCATATCATGACTATGCAGTGTTTAAATCAGCTGCATTTTCTTTTTCAACATGTGAACCAGGGCAATTCCTTTGCATYGCACATGTAAACTATGGGATTTAGGAGACACAAGCAGCCAATCTGTATTTCCAGAAGGCTATAATTGCTGCACCTGTCTGTCTCTTTTGATGTTTACAGTCTTGTAAAATGTTAGAGATGATCTTAGCACAGATAACATAAAGACATACAAATGTAAATAGTACCTAATTATATTTATTGGGTATATATAACTATCAGACAATACACTCACCATTAAATAACCTTTTAGTATACACAAAGACAGTTATTAATTATACACAAGACTTTTGTTGATTGTATAAATTTGTCTTGCTAGAATCGCAAAAAGATGTTATTGTAAGTCTTCCAAAACACCCACTGAAGAGATTTGAACCAGCATTAGAGAAGTTCATCAAAATTGCAATACCAACTGATTTAAARCGCTTACATCGACACCAGATAAACATGGAGAAGGTAGAGTTTTGAATGCTTTTTGTTGATTTTCATTGTTTCCAAAATTACAAGATAGAGGGACCTTTATCAAGAGATACATGTAGAKTTTCCTTCCGAATGATTGATATTTCTGCCAATAATTTTTCCTAATATTTTTGCTAATATCTGAAAGTTRATTCTGAGAATTCAAGAGCATATTATCTCCAAAACGCTTAGGAACTTTTCATATGTCAGGTAGGTTTTATGTGAAACAAACTGTCAGCTTAGCCCGTGTTTAGCAGCCCTAAAGGGATTAGGGAGGGCTGATCAGAGAATGGGAAGGAGAAAAGGGAGAGGCTTGCAAGAGAGCCACACAGTTTCACAAAATGCCCTYTGATTAATAATTCAAAAGCCTGGCAGATCTTACTTGACAGTCAAATCAAAATAAACCATGAAGCGATGTCAGTAATAATGAGGTTGCGAGGTCAGTGAACATGAGAACTGTCAATTTTTTTTTGTAAACTGCTACACATGTTTTGACTGTTGCAATGTCTGACAAGGAGAACACTTAAAGGGGAAGAAAACCTATTTTAAGTCCAGTGAGCATTGTGTGTCACTAATGTGCAGTGTTGATCTAACTATTAGGTTTGGAACAGGGTGTAATTAAAGTTTTGTCAAAATCTTTAAGCCAAGTAAAAGTGAAGAGTTTCAGTTTACTGTATTCGCCAATCCTCTTTGAAGAGTTGGTTTTCAACTTTAAGATAACACAAATCTTCCTTGTGTTAGGAAGCCAAATATATTTTGTAAATTCTATGAAGTTCTTGTAAAAGCAGTTCCACAATTTCCTGATACTAGTAAAAGTTCTTCTAGTGTTTGTAAACTAAAACTCTTAACACCAACAGGAAAAATTCCAGGGCAAAAAATGTTCCAAAGCTTGTCGCTGTTCTTCTTTGATTATTATACTGTATCCAAACATTTTCCTTTTAAATCACTTGAAACAAATTAAGCTCTAACTGATTACAAAATGCTTCATCGCCCGCCAAGTTGGTAAAAAMCCCAACTTGATTGACAGCTTGTTCCCTTCGACCAATGGGGAATTCTCCTCCGTATTATTTTGTTGATAATAATAAAGAAATGATGGTCTAGATTCTCAGACTGGTTGATCACATTGTATTCTTGATACTTCACTMTTTCAGTAACTAATCTTCTCGGATTTACTTTAATTCTAACTATCCAAGATGACGAGATACTGAAAGAAAGTATATTGCCCTGGAAACATATAAATGTAATCAAACAGTGTGGGAATCTAGACCATCATTTCTTAAATATTATTATCAATGAAATAATTATAATCATGACCCACAACATTTTACCCAGGACCCACGACCCACATGTAACATCCTACCCACGACCCACACCTGTTAGGTACTCATGCTCAAACACAAACTGGAGAAATCGCCTATTGAAGTTGTGTACTATAAGTATAGTTTAGAACATGAGCGGCCGCAGGCAAGAGATTGCAATTCCCATACAACACGGACACGAATGTTGTAAACGACTTATAAAACTCCAACACAAATTAACATGAATTTCAGTGAGATAAATGACGAAAAATGACAAATAAGGTAACTGCTGAGTTTAGTCCCTATTAGTGGTTATCACTAGTGGTTGTATCAGATTTACAAGGTCAATCACCTGATTAAATGGTCAGCCCTTATTGGAACAATTTCTTATGCATTATTAATAAGTTTTATAATAAGTTTTATAAAACAGCTTTGTTTTACTTTGATTACAGATCGAGTGTGTTTTCATAAATATCTTGATAACAAAAATCTTTTTCGGTAAAATTCTMTTTCTATTTGAAAGATAATAACTTTTGCAGCACAAAATGAAAAAAAAAATTGAAGCTGCAAAGGGGTCAAGTAACCTTAAGCAGTTATGTAAAAAGATAAATTTAACACCGTAAAAAAAGTATGTGGAAAAACTTACTGACGTTTCGGATGTTAATCCTTTGTCGGAGGATTAACATCCGAAACGTCAGTAAGTTTTTCCACGTACTTTTTTACGGTGTTAAATTTATCTTTTTACATAACTGTTTCTTTAGAAACACCGACGCAGCTCACACTAGTTTACCGCTAGTTCCCACCATTTTACTAACCTTAAGCATTTAGGATTCACAAATTGACTACTTAGTTCCATTGATAAATGAAAGCTTGTTTTGGGCATTTTCCATTTATGCATGAAATGTTTAAAATGTACACTTTTGAGAGTTAACATGTACTAAAATGTCTGAAAATTCATAGCTGTCTGCTAAATATTTGATTGATTGTTATTATTTCGTGTAGTTTTATGAGACGAGTTCATGGCATGAGCTAAATGCAGAGCAAATTAATGCTGCTAGAACTGTCCAGGTAAAGACAGATTGGAAASTACCAGAAATTAAAAAAATTGGCAATTTTTGTATATTAATCATATTGATCCTAATTCCTTTCAGCAATTGAAGGTAAACATCAGAGAAATGGAAAATATTAGGTGTCAGATTATAATATCAGATGTTGCAATATTTGATGAGAGAGTTGCACCACTAAAGGAWGAAGCTTTAGAGGGAGTTAGGTCTTTCAGGGATGTTCAAAGACTGTACTCAGAAAGACATAAAAGAAAGCATTGTGAAGGTGAGGTTTTTTTATATAATAGTAGATCTAGTAAATGTTCCAAAAAGACACAAAAATGTGCATTTTGAAATGGGACATTAAGTACTCTGCTTATACCAGTCGAGAAAATTCTGAGACTGAAAAAAGACAACAAAAATGAGAATATATTATTAAATGTAGATTTGGTAATACAGATTAATAAAGTCATTGAAAAATTAAGTTTTTCAAGTTTTTTTGTTACACTGACWTGCAGGAAATCTGGAAACAGGACAAGGAATTTTGCCACTTAATACCGATTACCAACAACAAATATTTCTAGAAGAAGAAACAGCCGCTTCCTGGGATGCTTTACAAGAGGTTTGGTCTACTTTGMTTTTATAACTTTATGTAACAAAGGCATACAAGAAGTTGGACAAATCACTTTAATTGTTCAGCAACTCAGGGGTGCAGGGGTGGGGGTGCTACTACCTATAGTGCAGGACATACCCCTCAGGGTTCAGCAGCAATGCTCACGTCCCCACATATGAAAGTCTTGCTTTTTAGACTTGATATAATAATATGACATATGCATTCAGAAAGAGTMTAAAGAGAGCGCTAAGAGCAAAAGACAAAAGCATTTAAAGTCTTTATCTAGCTACCACTGAAATTTCAAAAAGCGACTGGTGACCAGTCACAAACTCAGCTGAAGCAGTTTGAAGCAACTGAGAAGTGAGTACCGTGCCATGGCAAGGAAGATGATACTAAAGATTAATATTGTTGCTGACTTTCAGCATATTTTGACATTAAAAGCATTCCTAATAAACAATACATTCTTCCTAATAGAGTTTTTCTGTATCCTCTGTTTTTCACAGACYTCTGTTTTTCACAGGTATATAAAAACAGTGATAATCTCCATTGTTATTTTTAGGACTGTGCAATAATTACCAGGAGGGGGGGGGGGCATAAAACCAGAGAGGGGAGGCATTACATAAAATGGCAGGATAAGGGGGACTCAAAGTAAAATTACCTAATTAACACATATGAATAGTTCTGTTTTCGGATAAGAATTCTCTATCGCATAATTACGTCACACAAAAACATTCCATGGATTTAATGCTAAGGATTATGGTCGCCAGAGGGGATCAGAGTGACTGCATATCAAATAAAGTGTAGATGAGATATCATTGATAAATGATGTACATCAAAACTCAATACATCAAAGTTCTACTTTTGGAATGGCAGATCATGGAAATGAGCCCCTAAAGGCCTAACATCTAAAAATCGCTAAGATTGCAAAAGTTTGAAAGATGTATTGGTATGTTATTTTTCACAAAATATGCCTCTTTCAAAACACCATGGAAGTTTACTATATGGAGGCTGGCCTTTGAGACSTCGTTTTAGTGCCTGTAGTTTATTGCAATCAAATCAGCTAGTCAGGTCTTACAATTTCAATAAATGACTTTTTAGCCACTGCACACTTTCCCCTGTAACAAACATGTAATTCCYCATAATTATCTTTAATAGATTAACAATATTCATTGTAAAATAAGTATATATGTGTGTAAAATAAAAATTGAATTGAATTGAATTGAAAGGTTTACAAGCATAATTTGTTTTGTTTCACCAGAACCTTGAAGATCTCAATACTCTTATCCACGATTTCTCTGCTATTGTTCATGTGAGTAAGTCAGTCCAATTGCTTCTTGGTTTGTTGGTTTGGTATCAGTAAGATTTAATATCAACAATAATATGCAGTGGCGGATCCAAGATTCTTAAAAGGGGGGTTCCACGTTTTCTCATTTTCCTAAAGCGAACTTTATTACGGTGCCTCTCGAACTGTTGCAAATGTAGCGTAAATGTATTTAATGAAAATTCATTGTACGATGCGTATTCATTTTATTTCATTTATCATTTATTTTATTTATGCTTGAGGGGGGTTCCTAGGAACCCATGGAATCCCCCTGGATCCGCCACTGATATGGCAGAGATGATGTTTAATTAACAGGCTGACCCAGGTTTGGATTCAGGACAGCACATTGATAGAAAATGGCTGTTGCTAGTTTGTAATTTTTTTCATTAAGAACTAGAGYAAATGCAGGAAAACCATCAAATAAAATCAATCTAAATACGAACAAATTGCTGCTATTTAGAGACAATTTGTCAGTGTCAATGAACTAGAACACAATGAAGATGAATCCACATGGGACCATTTTTAATTCATCTTTATTGTTGTTCTGGTTCATTGATACTGACAATKTGTCTCTAAATAGTYACTATATTTGTTTTAGTATTTAGTTTGATTTTATTTCATGGTTTTCCTGCGTTGGCTCTAATAATGTGATTAATGTCAAAGTGATCATTACATCTACATGTATCATCACAAGTATGTTTTTTGCAGATAATTTGGARTAATTGCTTACTGTGGTACATAAGTCTGCATGTACCAGTAATATTTTGTTGTTTCAGGATCAGCAATCATCTCTAGATTCAATCACTGATAACATAGAAACAGCTCATGTTAATGTACAGCAAGGCACTACACAACTTGGAAAGGTAATTCTAACAGACTACCTTAAATTTACAGTGGTGGATTTTCCCCAGGGAGGGGTACACTTCATAACTAGGTCACAAAGCACACTGAAAATAAGTGAAAGGCCGGCCCTGTGAATGGATGGTGGGGAAATCATATATTGAATGTTTGCATTAGTACTGATAAAATGATTTTTTCTAAATTTTCATATTTGTAAGTTAAAAAATATCATATAAAAAAAATCAGAAATAATTTTCTGAATTTTTCTATCTATATCACATCATTGAAAAAACGGAAAATTTCTGAATTTTCAAACTTCAGAAAATTTCTAAACCTCATTCAAACAATTGTAGTGAAAACGAAAATTTCTGAATTGACACAATTTCCAAACCTCAGTCTGACAACTATAAATATAAACGATAATAAATTGTCTGCATTTTGTCAATTCAGAAATTTTTGTTTTATTGTCTCCTTGGCGGTTACCTGCGCCATCTTGAAAGGTAGCCRTGCCTTTKCAYYGAAGCGAGACAACCGTTGAGTGTGCAATGATAGAAACCTTCTTTCACACCTACAGACAATTATTCACAGGTATCTATCATTGCACGCTCAACGGCTGTCTCGCTTCGATGTAAAGGCACGGCTACCTTTCAAGATGGCGCAGGTAACCGTGAAGGAGACTATTCAAATTGTTGACCTCTCAAGCCAAGAAAATAGAAAGATGCCTATAAAATAATCAAAGTCGCCCTTTTGTTATTGATAAACAAAGTTTCTTCTTGTTCTTATTTGAAATCTTTGCCAAAACAAGACTAACGCTAGAATTCAGTTTCCTACTCCATACTACTCGAAGCACATGCGCGTACTTCTGATGCCTAGACTGATGTATTCCGATGAGATCACAGAGTAGTATATAACATTCACTAACGATATTCGTACATCTATAATTACTGATATCGATTGTAACCCATTGTTTTCCCTCTGCATTAGACCAACGAATGCAGACAGAAACAGGTTGGCCAGCTGCAATATTTAAAATATTGCTGTCTGCCTCAAGACAGATAGCAATATTGAAAATATATTGAAATATTGAAAATATTGCAGAATGGCTTGCCGGACTTAAAGGATGAAAGAGTTTTTTAAGAAAACTACTTATCAGTCTTTACAAAGAACCAGCAACCATTTAGAARTTATCRGATTTAGTATCGAGTCTTATGATATACTTTAGCTCCCATACGTGTGGGACATTATGTTCCATATACTGAAAAGGCAACGCATGCTCACATGGTTTTGAATTTATAATTTGGCACAATTTTGCCTGCTTTCTTCGTTTTTTATTGTTTTTATTGTTTTTATTTTTAGCCGCTGCTCAGACTATTTTGTGACAATTKATTAAGTTATTGTGTTCACATAAATAAATTCACGACTTATAGAAACCTGCATTATACCTACGAATGCTGCGTGCCTCAGTAATTATCTATTAAATAATACGTTTGAGCTTCTGTTCATGTAATAACACAGCCAACCCAATAGTTAATTATTAAATTCTTAACTTCCGGTGGTCCAAACGCGACAAAATACACAGATAGATAGATAGATTGATTTGATTGGTAAAACTCAAGTCGACCTAGCCTTCGGGTAGTCCGACTAATAAAACCGAAAAACCAGTTCTCTGGAGTTTCTGTTAAAGTTTTTGTCATTTTCATTTATTTTTTTCGGTTCAGTATCCTCGCACGCTGTAATTGGCTAGCGCGCGGTCCGGTTTTTCACGATCTGCCCGGTCCGACGGTATCCTGAAGCTAGTCTGCGAGCAAAGTTGCATAAAATACAAATTAAAAAAATAAAAATGTTATTTACCGGCTATAGGTCTGTCCGTATAGAAAAACACTGCCCTTGGTCTTTTATGTACGGACCTCGCTGCGCTCGTTCCGTACTGTCAAGACCTCGGGCGGTGGACCTCCCAGCCCGTAAATAACATATATGTATTTAGAAAGGTAGATCAACCCTGCGGGTTGTCCGACTAATTCAAACACGCCGCTACTCAACCGCTCCGAAACATTTTTTTACAACACGAGTTACTTGGGAGTAACCTTAACATTTATGTTATGATTTGACTCGATAAAGTTTTATATACGGTATATTATTAATTGTAGGCCAGAAAACTCCAAGCTGCAATGCTTCCTGTGATTGGTGCATTAATTGGAACTGTTGCTGGTGGACCAGTTGGTTTAGTATTTGGATTAAAGCTTGGTGCAGCAGCGGCTGTGGGTGGTGGTATTGCTGGGTTTGCTGGAGGAGAATTGCTGAAAAAAAAGAACGAACAAAATGTGGATACTGAATTGCAAAACATGAGTTCTAATACAGACAGCAGAATTGTAAAGAAGAGGCTGTGATATTTAAACGTCCTTTACTCTACAATGGCACGGTACTTCAGTACAGCCATAGTTGTTTAACTGCTGTTCATCTTCAGATTATCTGCCTGGTTATTTGACTGTAGAATAGTCTTGTAGGGCTTTCTTGTGGAGTAATTCATTCCAAATATGCACCTAATTTCAAGAAAGAACATTGTATTATAACATGAAATCATTATAATTTTTTGGAAAAAAATATAATAAATAAAAATAGATTATAAGGGCTTTACTTGACATACGGTTCGACTTTGTTGATTGACGATTTAGAAATGTGAAAGTGCACCATTAAAAATTCGCTTTAACTTTTATAGCCTTAGTGATTTCAGAGGACATATCAAATTTATTGCCAYAAATCGGGTGACATTTGCTTAGATTAGATCTTTTGATATGTTATAAATGAAGAGGCTCAAAAAAGCACAAATGCGGCATTTTTTAAAGATTATATAGGTTTTTCGGTCATTAGCAAAAAGCTTCTTTTCTCTTCTCTTCTCTGGAGAAGGTCGAAATCTAACCCTCCCAAAACACACWAAAACAGCATCAAAATCGAAAATAACCCCTCCAAAAATGTTCATAAACTATTGAACCATCTTTATTGAAGTTTTTTGATATTTCAAGAATGAAAAGATACGTTTTAGAAACGATATTTTGACTACATGTGAAAAGCCGTTGAGTTTGTCGCCACAGGTAGCCCATCTCCCGTAACTCTTCAGAGACTGGTAAGCCTGTGCTGCGAGATCTTTCCCTTCATTTAGGAAGGAGGAAGCCATTGATAGAAAACAGGTGTAATTAATCTTGGGAATACAGGAGAAAATCTGGAGAAAAAACAACAACCAACAAGGATTATGAACTTTTCAATCTAAAAATAGCACCAAGAGGGGTAAATGCCGTTCCACAAGCCCATGGGATCGGGAAGAGGAAGGCTGCTAGTAATGGGCTCCTGGCGAAAGGTGATTCTGCTTTCCTTTTTTGGACATAACGTTAAACACCCTGAAAATGAATTTTGAATAGTCTAGTACTAAGATCTTCCTCCTCGGAACTGCCGGCGGTCGACCGCCGGCCGGGTCGTCGATCATTCAGAAACCTATTGTTCAAGACACTTTCTGATTGGCTGTTTTGCGCTGAATTTATAATAAACAGACAAACAAAACAAAATATAGCAGTAGCATCAACAATAATAACAAAACACACAACAAAAAATACAAAAAAATGGACATCTGTAGCTATGGACTCAGTTACCGTCGCTATAATTTCATATTTCTTATAACCGCACTGCGTTCCGCGCACTTGGATGATTTGTTTGGGCTTCCTGTGRTCATGGCGCGCCCTAGGAACCACAGGGAGCCCAAGCAGTGACTTTGAACCTAAAATAGCTAAAAATAAAATTTTACTTAAAAAAATGGTCTACTTTTATTTTATTCAGTGTCACAATGCATTATAAATGAGTTTTAGATAAAACTTCGTTTTGATTTAATTTCRGTGCGAAAAAAAGATTTTTGTTGGTCGTTTTTGGCTCATTTTTAGGAGAATTTCGAGCGGAGTCTCCTCCCTTGCCACTATATATATATAGATAGGGGATATTTTTTTAAACCCATTCATAATGCATTGTGACACTGAATAAAATAAAAGTAGACCATTTTTTTAAGTAAAATTTTATTTTTAACCATTATAGGTTCAAAGTCACTGCTTGGGCTCCCTGTGTAGGAACTAGGTAGGAACGCCTGGTTAACTTTGTATTGTTCGCTCGATGAAAATCTCGATGAATAGAATTATAACGATAGTTTATGTTTTTCAAATGATATAACGATCCTTATTCAACACAATAGTTCGTAAGATGCCGAAAAAGAAGACTGGAGCTAGAAAGAAGGCGGAAAAGCAAAAAGCGAGACAAAGAGATATTCAAGGCGGTTCACGATCTTTAATGGAATGGCCCTGCAACTTCACAATGGTAAGTTTAGAAAATTCTTTATTTTTCACTTGGAGTCTGTTATGTGTCCAGTAAGATGTATGGGTATATCAAATACAAACAAATAAATGACAGATGTACATTGTGGATGATGTATCACTATAAWTTGATGTTTTTGAGGAATCCTGGTGCTACTCGACACATCAATTTACCATAGACTGATGAATGGTACAATGCAAACGTCCTACATTTTCTCCATATTTCTCCCACCTTTATATAGTGGGGTTGACTGTATGGCTTTTTACAAAGCTTTTTATTCCTAGGTTCCCAACTTGATAGTTAACCAACACTACTGAAGCAACACACAGCGATCATCTTACAATTTTTATTCAAGAAAATCTTTTAATTCATTGACTTCAAGACCTCATAATCCTGACAGGTCTTTGTGATTTATTAACCTTGCCAGGCTTTTGAATMCTTAGGGGTGCTAAGCTGACTGCTGATTSTGTTTTTTCATTTCTTTCATGTATTGTTCTGGGAAGGAATGTGACAAGTGCAAGAGGTACGTACTTTGAATTGGGTTATTTAATTAGGTTATTAGCGGAGTACACAGATCTTCTCAGACATATATTTTTTGTATTGTATCTAAATTATGACCAAATGTGATTAAAAAAGTATGTAAAAATTGAAAAATAATTGTGAGTTTCTTGTGGAATTACGTTATGGCCCTTTGCATTGGGGAATAGAAACTAGTGAGTCAGGATAAWAATGCAGTACCACAGGGAGTCCAAATTTGCACAATTTCATATAATAATTAAAAATGCATATGCACATACTTTTTCTTGATTACTTACTGATGACAGGAAAGTTATAATTAATTGGAAAATTGATTGAAAATATTTTATTTTACTATTTTATTTTATTTGTTTAGGAGACAGAAAAATCGTGCATTTTGCTATTTCTGTTTGAGTTTACAGAAAATATCAACTTGTGCACACTGTGGTAAGTACAATGAAGACTGATATTATGAGCTTTTACACATTTATCTTCACTTMTTTCATACTTGATTCAGTTTTCTTTGTTATTCATAGTGTTGTATCTAGCTTATTCCACAGCTCATTGTGTATTCAAGTGCTTTATATCGAAGTTTCAAATATCTAGATATTGCCCTTGAATACTAATGTACTTATTGCCCTTGAATACCTAATTAACTACTACGTTCAACTTAGAAATTTTCCGTCTGAAACTTTAAACTTGAAAGAAAGAAAGAAAAATTCAAATGACACCAAGTAGATTCGAACCCACAACCTCAGCTTTGAAAATCCTATACTTAACATGTTATGCTAACTGACTAATCGATGTCAGTTGTGGAATAAAACAGTTATTTAACATTGTCCAGTTACTTGTTACAAAAGGTATATTGTTAGCATTGGTCTCATGGGACTAACGAAAAAAATGCTTATRCAAATTATTACCGTTGGGAATTGTCAATACAGTAAATATCGTAACCTTTYTAATCRAGGTTTTGGTTTTTAATTCATATGAAAACGGCTTCTTTGCCTATTTAAAAATGAAAATATTAATGCAGTGCTTGGAAAACTTCTTCAAAGTATGAAATAAGTCAGATAAATACCTCGAACGTCGGCAATAAGCCTATAAAGCCCTCGGGGCCTACGGCCCCTCGTGCTTTATATGGCTTATTTCCTCCGTTCTCGGTATTTATCTCTTACTTAACTAGGAATAATTGCTTAAGTTATCATATAAAAGTATGCAATATTTTCTGAACAAATTTGTTTTAGATAAGTGAAAATGATCCAAAATATATATTTTACATTAGAATCTCAGCTTATTCCACCTTTAATGCATGTGTTATTATTGTGGGTTTCAGTGCATTTAGTTAAACTGTGAAATAATTAGATAAATAAATTTGAAGTACTATTTATAAAACATTAATAATTCATGAAYCATAGCTTCAATTAGGGCTGTTTGTTCGGCTTGGGAATGTGATAGGTTATCACCGTTGAGACAACCTAATAGTAAAAAATGTTTCAGTTCTAATATCACATCATAGACTCATTAATGCAGCAGATGGTTTGCTTCCATGTTGTATAAGACAYATTATATTAATATAATTTTTTGATTTCATAGGGAAAAGCAAATGTTTAATGAAAACTGGTGATTGTGTTGTGAAGCATCCTGGAATTCATGCTGTAAGCTTGAGCATGGTGGTAAGTGTTTAGGAAAGCTGGGGAACGCCATGTCTCCCTCTACTAGAACTATGGAACTATGGTATTTCCATGGCAATTTGTAAGAGGTGGATTGTAAGAAATCTGAGGGGTTTTTTTAAAAAAACTTTTTTCATGAGAGTGTGTATTTTATAAAAAAGGCTCAATTTAAAGAATATAATKAAAGCTTGTCATTCATGTTCTTTAGGGTGCCATTTGTGATTATTGTGAAGCATTTGTTTGTCACAGCAAGAAATGTTTAACAACACATGCCTGTGAGTGTCCATTACGAGAGGGAGACTGTCTAGAGTGCGAAAGAGGGGTTTGGGAACATGGTAATGTATACCTACTACATACCTACTACCTTAAGTAAAATAGATATGACTTGAATCAGTAGTATAATGATTGCCGGCTCAAGCCAAAACAAGATTACGAGACGAGGRTCGACTTTGTAATATATACAATATGAGCGGGCAATCTGTCTGAGGATTTAAAACAGCGAACTGTTTTAAACCTCATACAGATCACACGCAAATATTGTATATTACTTATGAAACGTTGAGGTAAACTAGTTTAGGTTTTAAAGAAACCTTTGAAAAAAATTCAATCTGACCGAGAAAATCAGAGTTTAAGGTTTATGCAAATGAACAAGAATCTGTATGTAATATACAACTCTCTTCATGGGCTATGATTTCTATTGTGTTTTGCCTTATGAATATTAATGATTTTTATAATGATGTTTGTGAATRCCGTTTTTTTGAAAAAAAGAACGAAGAGATATTGCTATTAGGTGCGAAGTACAGGATTATATTCATGAGTTGTTTGCATACAATGAATAGAGGTACCACGAATGTGTTACTTTCAAAAGTGAGAAATATAGTTATTTTGTAGAAAATTGTACTGTGATAAATTGGATTTTTCCTTTGATGATGTTTTTATGTTGTAGAAACGGGCACTTGAGTAATTATCGAATACCCCGCAAAAAAAAACTAAACTTTATTGACAATGGTACGTCTACAGCTCAAAATCAAGTCATAAGTGAACTACCGGTCTCCCTGTGTTTTATTAAAGAACGAGGCGATATCCATATTATGAAGTGCCTACGCGGCAACGCGGTCATAAATAAAATACCGATCTCCCTGTGTTTTATTAAAGAACGAGACAATATGTCTATCACTGCGTCGCCCGTAGCCGGCTACAGGTAGAGGGTTTGAGTAGCAGGGTATTCGATAGTTGTACCTGTAAATGTGGAGAGTTCTTTGAATAAATTTCCCAAATGCTTATTAACCCATCATTCAAGTCACGTATATTATGATCAAGCCACGTGCATAACTAGAATATTTTTGAATTATTGTGGGGTCCAAAGCCCAGGATTCAAAATGGTCACTCATGCTACACTTGCTTGTAGTCGCTTATGAGCGGTAAGTCTGTTTACGAGATACATTTCCCAGCTTCTAACAATTTTACAAATGACTTGTTTTTTAGGTGGGAGGATTTTCATGTGCGCCTATTGTGCATGTTTTCTGTGTTCTGACGATCAATTTGAGCACCAAGCAAAATGCCAAGTTTTAGAGTCGGAGTCTTTTAAATGTAAGTCACAGAAGATGGTAGAACAATATGAAAACCAATATTACCTATAGTATCGTAKTGAGAAAAAATCATCTTTAAAGATGGGATTTGCCAATGCTTTGYCATGCTTTGCGTTGAGTGAAGTTCTGGGGGTGGTAACCAGCATCGCAACGACTATGTGAGTTACTATTTGTAACACAAATGACATTTATTTTATTGAAGGTGGCTCATGCAATAAACTTGGACAATATTCATGTCTGCGTTGCAAGGTAAAATCCCGAGTTTCTGTAACATTTCTCTCCATTCAAATCATGATTCTTCAATTTTCTAGTTGTGTTTCTGCGATGATCACGTGCGTCGGAAAGGAATCAAGTATACGCGTGGACAGTCAATTCCTTGTCCAAAGTGTGGACATGAAACAAARGAAACCAAAGACTTGTCGATGTCAAGTAAGTGAATTTTAACTCGTTACCGTACACTGATTCAGAGCTTCRCTGGAAAAAATCGCGCGCTTTAAAGGTTGTAAATTTGATGTATATATGATGTAAGTGTCCAAAATGATGTAAATTTGATGTAAATAATTTCCATCAAATTTCCATCATTTTGGACACTTACATCATATTTACATCAAATTTACAACCTTTATGGCGCGCGATTTTTTCCAGTGGCTTTCTCGCCTTCTTGGTCCGACAAATACAGTTTMCATTCTTGCTAATGGTAATAYCTCTGGTATCATCGGATGCAAAAGCTTTGTTCATTTTCAAACATAAAGACAGTTTTAAGGAGCTAAGCATGAAACTGATAAACACATATATATATTGTTTTCATTGTGTGCTTGTTAACTATCTGATTTAATTTTCAGCTCGAAGTCACACATTTGGCCGTCAGAAGTACAACGATGATTCTGATGATGAGATGGCAGGTTATTCTTATGGCGCTTTCAGCTATGGTACTACATCTTCGCAAGCTACTTTGGGCAGCATTGATGATGATGATGATGATGATGAAGGTGATGATGATGAAGATGAAGATGAAAGTGAGGATGAGGAGGAACAAGAGGAAGCAGAAGACGAGAGTGAAGAAACAACTTTTGAATCACAAGTGTCTATTGAAAATCTCAAACTACAATAAAATCTTAAAAACTCAATAATGATTAAAGTCGTTATGTGCTAAAATTAGATATTGAACGTTTTCAATTATAATTCCCATGAAATTCAAAAGACAAAAGACMGGCGGCCATGTTGGAGGAATGAACAATAGATATTAATGAGAAATCTTTTGTTGAAGTTCCTCCAAGATGGCCGCTGTGACGTATACACCCTTTTAATAAGTCCCAAGGTATTGTGTTCTCCGCACTTGACGTCAAATTTATTCTTTTCAATTCCTTTTGTATTGAAAAAAATTCAAAAGAATAAATTTGACGTCAAGTGCGGAGAACTCAATACCTCGGGACTTATTAAAAGGGTGTATAGTGAAAACGAAGAATTGAGGGGTTCTCAAAAAGCCTTGAAACAAATACTGGCAATKAACCTCRTCAAAGCTGTATAGTTTACTAGTAACTGAATATTTGAGTGGTAGTTCAAAGAGATCATACAGGTATAAAACAAACTTTGAATGCTGTTGTTGGGGCATACGAGCCWTTGTTTCTGATTTGCAGACTGTACTTGGTCTAACCAAAATATCGCAATGGTCATCGTCTATATTCTCTATTGTCGGCTTTTTACCTATCGGCGTAAATGTTAAAGAATCATAACCAACCGCCGTACCTTGCGCGCTCGTATTATTGTTTACATACGTTTAAATGAGTCAAGGATACAATAAATTATAGATTGATAGTACCTGTGAGGTACTTAGTTAAGTAATGGCCCGAGTAAGAACTATAGAAGCAAACGGCAAAGGAATGCAAGGAGGTGCTAATTGTGTATTGTATAATCCATCCATCCCATTGGTTCAAACAAGAAAATCTGCTATAATTTCACAAGTTAACGCATTTTCTAATATTTTATTTGATATCTGATTCCGACTTCATGAAAGCTTTAGCTACAATATTAAGGCAATTCTATGTGGGGAATATACCAAATTAGAAGCTTCTTTTAGCTATTGTTTTGAGTGCTTATGATTGGATAAGAGGTTTTAATACAAAAGAAACTTTGTTTCAAAATAGAGTTTATCCACATTTTATTTCAAAAATGCGTTACCCATAGGTTGACCACTGTGAAAACCAAGACATTTGTATGTGGGGAAGCTGCAATGCCGCAGAACAATAGAGAGTTCTACAGTTCTTACGCGCATTGTTACTTAAATGTATTTCTGTCCAAACTGAAAGGACGGAAGACGATTCGCGCTCACTTTTAAGAAATCCTACGGATCCGCCATTTTCGTGTCCTCCTAAAATGGCGCTGCGGCTCGCAAGGTACGGACCAAGGTACGGCGGTTGGTTATGATTCTTTAAATTTTCCAAGAAGTGAGGTATGCCAGGAATGCGTCCACAAACAAAGAAACAAATAAAAAAAGTTAGGATATTATAATGGGTCCACGGAGATACGAACTTTATCTTCTCGTGATGAAAATAAAATCTCCCACTCGTTCGCGTTTCACTAGCAGCATCTCGGCCCTCCACAAGTCCGTTTAGGGCCGCTACGCAGGCTATGCTGGATTATGTGTTGAACTCGTTGAACTCAAGATAATCGCTTGACTTATAGCGTGCCGAAATTATGAAACATCTTGTGAATAATACAACGTAACTTCAGAACCTGAATAACTTCAGGCAACATTCATAAATGCCGTATCAATAACTCGGAAACCAATTTTAAT